ATTGTCAGAAATCACATTGATTGTGGCAATTTCCCACTCCAATGCATTCATTCACATCTTTTGTTGCGAGGGTGGACAAACAGTGGAATAAAATATACAATAAAAGTCAATAAATTTTTGGTTTTCTCTCACACTGGACGGGTGGATGAGACTGAGAGACGTCTCTAATAAATTCTCCCTTGTGAAAATTGGTTAAATCCATTTAATCTACTCCCTGTAAATTGCCATCTGATTGAATTATCCCGACAATGGAGGGAAAGAATGGTCATGACGAGAGCGAGAGAGTGAGAAAAAGGCGTCGGGGAGGAAAAAAAAGAGGCCCCCAGCCCTTGACAGAGTTGTTGTATCAGTCGAAGTAATCTCAGCTTTTCCCAACCACCCCAGTGGGAGTCCCTTGTTGTGTCCAACATTTATCCCTGTGGTGCAAAATATGGAATTAACACGTTATTTCGCCTCCAACAAGCACGAAGCTTAAGGATTAATTTAATTACATTAATAGACACACATCAGAGGGGAAAACAATGATGATGAGACAATCTCTTCAGGGTGGACACAGAAAAAAAAATTCCACGCGGGAAACATGCTCAAAAGCTCTCTCCCCTCAAATGGATTTGTTGGGGGATTTTCATCGATTTCCGAATCATTTTTATTGTCTTATGCTTTTCCTTCCAAGGCCTGTGTCTGGGAGGGCTTCTTAGCAAATTGAAAAAATTGGTCAAGATAAGCTCACACTGGCTTAGGAGGCATTTATTGGGATTCCATCCAACATCTTTGATCCCATGTCTTAATCAGTGTTGATTAACTTGCGAGGGAGACTCTCAATTGTGGAAATTTTGCAGTATTTCCCAGCGAAATTCCACCCCCACACTTCGCTGTGTGGATTTTCCGAAATTAGATCAACCAATTTGTCATTCTATCGTGTAATTTGACCAGAAATCTTCATGGTTTTTCTGTGCGGTGCTGAAGGTAATTTCGCCACCCTTACAAACCCTCGACGGCTCCGATGGGGCCAAATGAGGAACAAAAGCGATGGATAATGTTGACAATATTTTCTTTGGCGACTCCGTATGTTTCCGGCAAGATGTGGCGACAAAAAAATGCGCCCAAGACAGGGATGACTTCTTGCCACCCTGCGTCCATTTGCAACTTTTGTTCTTCGTCATCCCCTCGTGCCCCACGAGTCTCTGGAGGGTGGCTGATGGGGGATGAAAAAATTCTGTTTATAAATTACTCTGAATCAATCTCTCTCAACCCCCGCCTGGAATGGGGTGGGTGGAGTGGATCCAGAGAGGGACACACAATATTCCTCGTGTATAATTTGATGGGAAATAATGGGCGGATGATGGTGTTCTAAGTGAGCTGGGCGGTGGCACAGTGTGATGGATGATGGCTGCGGAGACTGAGGATGAAGAGTCACACTAAATTATGAATTATGTGCTCGGAGTGCAAGTTCAAGACTTTCCCTTCGCTCTCCACCCATCCAGTGATGAAGAATTCTCGGGAATTTCGATCCTCCCCAGCCTTGCAGGAGATTGCATAATGAGATGAGTAGCGAAACTGTCCTCCGAAATACTTGTAGTGCATCTTTTCTTTCAACTTCCATTTATTCGGCGTTATGGATGAAATAGAGCACTTTCAAGGGGGAGATAGTACAGCCAGAAGTGGTGTACAGCTCAGCAGAAATCTTGGGAAGTGTTCTTCTTTCACTGACAAAACATCCGGATTCTTTGGATTTCTTCTGATTTTCGCAATGAAAACAATCATAAAAATCCTTTTCTAGGTTATGTTAGCAATCAAGAACAGATTTAGTGAATAATTCGCATTCTATCATATCAATCGCTAGTCATTGACAGAATCAGGCATTTACAAGCAATAAACATTGCTATTCCGAATCTTTCATGCCAAGAAACACTACAAATTGTTCAAAAATTGAACATAACCTCAAAAATATTCGTTTAAACTTGGAAAACCTTTCTTTAAAATACCTTCTGGACAATTTTAACCCTTAATAAGCAATTTTGAATTGATTGGCAAGTCATAGAAAGCTTCAAAATGGTGTCTTTTCAGGTTCTCTTAGTGATATTTTGAGGTTATGGTTGGAAAAGACACCCAAAAAAGCGATTTTAAGTGGATTTTTACACAAATATCGGATGGAAATTTGAGAATTAATGTGCAAACAGTGAAAATTTCTCCCCCTTGGTGGCTGAAAAAGAGCACTTCATTCAGCCATTGTAGCTATCATTAGCTGAGCAATTTCATAGATCTCTCTCGCAATGCACTCACAACTTGACGGTAATCGATCGAAATGTGAAATTTCCCGGAAGAGAGTGCAATGCTCAAGTTCGACAATTGACGCTGCACGAAGGCGAATTCCCCCAATGGAAGCGGTGTCGTTTGGGGAAGCAAGAAGGCGAAGAGGATATCCTTGATTTAATTCTGTGGCAAAGATTGGACTGTGAAGACTCCTCGAAGCCATATAGCACAAGGGATTGTGGCCAAAAGTACACCCAAGAGATAGGAATTCAGCACTTTTCCCATCATTTTATCATCATTCAGCGATGGACTCCGCATCCTTCGGCGCCAGTTTCCTGTGGGATGCTTTATCGACTGAACCATGTGGAAATTGTGTCGTGCTCGGAAGCTTTGTTGCGTGCCACCGGGAGCTTTTGTGGCGGGAATTCCACGGGAGGGTGAAAAGTGAATGGATTTTTTGCTGCCTTCTAAGCCCATTCTTCTGGCGGGGGCTGTTGTGTATTTATTTGAGCTGCCAAGCCACCTTCCTCTTCATTTTGCGCGCTCAACACTCTATTGAGGGAAAGGAGGTTCACAGAGTTCACCTAATCTTGCCGCCAGTGATTGATAAACCAATTTGTAACACCGAGAGTACTTTATTACCTCTTTGCAGTATATATTTTTCCGCCTCTTTATTTATATCAATGCCCATTTTATTCCACCGCACACACGGTCAGTTTGCTTCTCTCGGTGGTAAATCTCATTGTTTATTTTCAATTTTCACCGTCACAGACACTCTCAATATTTCTTCAACTCTCCCACAAAGCGCCCCAAAGAGAGAGTCGCGCGGGTGGAAAAGTTTCTCCGCAGCGAAGGGAAAAAAACATAAATTCTAAAGTTTTATATTTCTTCCATGGCGACTCTGATGCCACACAGCAAATAATTTTATTTCCCTACAAAATACTCTGACACACAGCATTGACCATATAAAATTGAAAAGACATTGCTCAACCCTTTCATCCCGCCTCAACCATTTCTCTTACACGCAATAAACCTCATTTTTATTTACTCTCTCTCTCTCTCTCTCTTGTTTCATTCTCACCGATTTCCTCCCAAGAAAACTGTATATAAAGTCGTAAAAATCCATCCCAGCGCAACTTTTACAAGAAGGGCGGGCCATTGAAAATTTTCGACTCGTGTATATGGATAATTTACTCACTGACCCGTGCTTCACACAAACTTGCCGATGGGATTTATTTCACATTCACCTGAGTGGAAGGGACGCCTAAATCCTTCGCCACTGTAGATAAATTATTTCGGAGTTGATTACCTGACAGATCACTGCCGTAAAAGTAATTAGATGTTGAAAGAGTTACGAATTCATCACGAAACAAGATGAATTTTGGGGTTTTTTTTATGTGAAATTGCGGTAAGAAAACCGTATTTGTATAATTTGTGTATTTTTGAAAAGCTCATTATCTGTTCTATTACTTGTTAAAAAAAATTTTGAGATTTGTATCTTTGAACAAATGACTTAAAAATTGTAGTTGATTATCAGAATTTTCCTAAAATCTTCCTTAACTCTGAATGAATATAATATTTCTCATATCTTAAATTTTTTTTCACTTGAAAGCTTTAGAAAAAATCCATGTAAAGTATGAAAAGTTGATTTTTTAAAAATTTGTTTGGATAAAATGTACTCAAAGACTAATTAAAATTCACTTTGGAATGTAATATTTTAAGTTATTCTTATAATTTTGCCATATTTCATTCAAAAACTCCAATAAATACCAATAAAGTAAACTGAAAAAAATTTAAAAGTAATAATTTCAGAGTAATATTAACAATTTTGAGGATTCTGAGTTAAATTTGGCAAATTTCGCAGCGCGATATTGACGCTAAATTTTGGACTAGCTTTGCAGAAAAATGGCGAATTTGACTTTTAGTCGGTTTAATAACAAATTCTTAACCCTTTTTAAGTATTGTGAGGCTTTATCTGAGATTGCCTCAAGATGGAAAATATCCTTGTACCGACTCTAAAGCGCCAAACAATTAAACCACAGCGTCGGGTTGGGCAGAAAAGCTGCAGTGAAAGCTCACAATTGGCTCTCATGTGAAATTTGCCTCTAATTGAATTGAAATTTCCTCCCAGTTGAATGCAAAAGCTCCGGCCACAGGGATGAGCATTGTGTTTGCGAGCGGGTGGGAAAAAAGGCGTAATTTAATTGAATGAAAGGCTTGAAAATGCTTCCCCTCTGTGAAGAGTGTCTTGTCGGGTGGGGATTTTGTGTGAAGTCATTTGATAATTTTGATTGCAAAGTAATAAATTAACGAGACGATGACGCAGCTGGAATTTCCATCGTATTTTCACGCATTACTTGTAAATGTTTTGGTGTGATTAAATGGATGAATAGAAAATGAAAATTGCTATTTTCACCATTGTTGCTTTTCCACCTCCAGGGGCCAATTTTGCTTCTTCTTTTTTTTCTTACACTCGAATCGCCTGGGTGGGAAAAGCATAAGATGACTTCAAATGTGGGCTTTAATACTTAAGGTGTATCACTTCCGCGACTCCCTTCGTCAACGCTCAATGGATAATTCAACGCATATACAGAATGTTTTCTCACTGGGTTGAAGGTTTTTTTTCGGTTTTGTCAGAGGGATTCTTTGTTGTGCTTTTATATAAATTAAACGGAAATATTTCTCATGTTTTGTTGTGGAATTTCTCGTCTAACAATTCTTTTCTTCGTCTTTTCTTACAATTGCAGATCATGTCAGGGAGTTCAGCTGTGGTACATTGTACTACAGAACATTCCTGCTGGATGAGAAGAAGGATGTTCTCTACGTTGGCGCAATGTAAGTTTACAATATGAAAATGCTTTTATCATGAAAATTTTGCGAAAAATTCCCCCGCAAACTTGTTCGTCTCCTTTGGAAATTCATTTCAATTAACGCCATCAGGGGAAGAAATTTGCCAGAGAGTCATTAAAGAAATGCGTTGTGAGTGGGATTTCGATCTTGTGTCATTAAAATTTTAAGTATTGTCCAATAATTTTTCACTTTTACGATTATTGAGGCGAGTATGAAAGAAAGGAAAGTCATCAGAAATTGTCGTAAAATCAATTCATTCAAGGGGAAAATTGAATGTATATAATTCCGCTATATATAGCCATGAGAATGGCTTTGATGGTGAGGAAACTTCGCCATTCCGTCGAGTGGATATTTCGCATTAATGACAAAAGGGCCGTGCAAAGTTTCAAGACAACGCAAATTAACCTCATCCATTGGCGTTGGAGTTGTTTATTTAGAAAATTAGTGTTTGATGCGGAAGAAGAATGCGAATGCAGAGTCATTAAGGCAGTCTTGGCATAGTAAAATTGTGATTAAAAATTAAATCCAATTTATTTTCGCGCCCCATAAAACTCTGTGGACAATTTTCTGTAGCACTTTTTCCTCGCTCTGACTTCTTGAGTCGTTGAAAAGTCGTCATGGAAGTGAAGTTTTCTTTCTTTTTCCACCCAACTTTCATTCAATCGTCACTAGACAGACAGTGAAGTGCAAAAGAGCGCGAATAAGTTGACTTTAAATGTATTTTTTTGAAATTAATATAAGGAGAATATTTTTTCCTTTGCAAATCTATTTGAAGGAAGAAGTTGCATTCTTTAATTGAATTGGCGTGAAGTAAAGGAAAAAAAATATATGCAACTTTTAGTGACACTTTTGCACCACACTGTGCAACGAATGCAGCCAAGACAAGATGGACTTTTTCCACTTTTAGCGTATATAAACGGTGTGATATAAAAGTTTCATTCATCACCATTGGGGACGCAGTTTGGGAAAATGTCCAATAATTGGGTATAAATGGTGAGTCTTACCAAATGAGAAATTGAGAGGCGACTTGAGGAAAGTCGTGTGTGAGTTTTCCAGTCATTCTCAGCCACATAAACAGATCGTTAACTCTTCATTTGGGGCGATTTCTCTGCCAGTTTGGGATGGAATGTCTCCCATGTCGTCTCTGTGGCGACAAGTGGCGCAGCTTCCGTGCATTCCACCCCCGTCTGGGGGGTTGCTTGTTGTACAGCATAAAGTCGTGACAAACCCCGCGGTGGTCCGTCTTTTCCGGTGATCTGCGCCACCCCAGTGGGAGTGAGGCTCCGGGCGACGTTTATTTATTTACAGAACAACCCCGTCAGTCATTTTATTTGCGGTGATCACAATAAAAACCGCGACGGGAGAAAGGATTCCATGCCATCCACCTTCTGTCATTTGTCAGACTGCAAATGTGGGCGCGCATTATGGGTATGGAAAAATGGGGGTTGAAGAAATAGAAAATCCCGGAAGCCTCGGAGTATGAAAGTTTTATGACATGACGAGAAAATTTGAATATGGCCAAATTTTTTATGCCACTTCCCTCACCCTCAAGAGTCTCATCATCTCTTCCCACTCCTTAATTATTCATCAAAAGATATGGCAAAAGAAGTACAAATAAACAGTGGACGAGAAATTCTCTCACATGCCAAGAGAGTTTTGGGAACTTAAACAGTCGTTTTATTTGATATTACAACTTGAATTTGCAACTTGTTCGTTTTCCCCCAACTGGGGTGGAAAAAAAAACGAAGAAGAAGACATTTTTGATAGAAGACGAGGCGGAAGACGCTCAAAGAGCAATGAGCAAATATTTGATAGGACATGAAGAGAGAAGTACGTGGCGATAAAAAATACTAAATAAAATTCACAGGATCAGATTTATTTACATGTGTATTATGTATTTTGCTAAGCAAATATGCATCAGTGAACATTTTAGCAGAGCAAATAAGTCTCTCTCTCTCTCGAGAAAGATGTCTTGAGAAAGTGCCTCGCTTCAAAGGCAGCTCCAAACTAACATGCGGAGTTGAATGCTCAAGAGGGAGGAAAAACAACTAATTTCTTCTGCCAAATTTATTCTTATGCACGAATCACTCTGATTTTTTTTTCTATTTATGGCTATTCCATCTCCTGGTTGGAAAGTTTTCTTAGAAATATCGACTGTTTTTGTCCTTTCCCACCGCTTTCAATAGTTGTCTCCATTTTCCCAAATGCTTCATCATCAAGTTCCTCATCCCTTTAGATTCTATGGAGATGGAAAAGTCATAGAAACTCCGCGTGAGTCACAAGAGATTTTCCAGTTGAATGATAATTTGGTGAAATTGATATTTCTTCATTTTTCATCCTGATTGACATGTATTAATGAATTTTCCCCTTAAACTTTCATTCACAAATGCGAAGGAAATGTGATTGAAGAGTCGAGAAATCTTGAGAGCTTTCATCCCAATAAATGACTGAGTTATGAAAGTTCAATGTACATCAATATGAAGGTTCTTGACTTCATTATTAATTTGTGAATGTGTTTTGCGATAATTGAATTAAAACATCACAATTGTCATTTTTCAGGAGAGCAAAATTAGAAAATATGCTGAATTTTCCATAAAGTCGTAAAATTGATCTAAATGAGTGCATTTTTCATATGATTTTATTCGTTATTTACTGAAATTTTAACTGAAATTTTGCAAGTTTATAGATAAATTGAAAACGTTATAGTTTCCAAATGTTGATTTTCGTTGATTTTTGTTGTTGAAAATCCAACTAAACTTAAGAAGTATTTAAGATCTTTCTAAAAAAACACAATTGACTTTTCATAGTTTTCCATGCACCCCTCAATTTATGAGCCTCAAAAAGAATGAATAGATAAATTCGCATGAATGTCTTTTATTGAATCCATTTGTGTTTCTTCTTTGTCATCTCTTCTGATGTCGCGTATGTGGAATCACAAACAGAATATCCATCCAATATGTTGAACATGATGTATTTTGTGTCGCTCTTAACATATTTCAGATTAAACTGCATAAATAAATATGGATCATTTCGGATAACGATGGCTGTCATTCGAGGCGTTTATAGAGCGTCTCACAAGCAATGACATCCCGAGAGAGCATTAGGAGCTTTTTCCATGTGCATTTTGCGCCAGAGCAATTGCGAAAAGCTCTGGTGGGAAAAAAGGCGAGAGCAAGGGGGAGATATTATGGCCCAGAAGTGGCGTTTAAGAGCTACTAATTTAAGTAAATTAACGCTATGGTCTTCAATAAGAATCTCAATGCTTTTCTAGGTTATGTTGCTAACTTTAAGCAAATTTTAGTAACTAAATAACATTGGAAAACAACATTTTGTGAAGTCAAATTGGAATAATTTATATTCCTCGTGAAGTTGAGCGTTTGTAATCAGATTTTAAACTGTGTTAATTGCGCTGAAATTGATCATAACCTCAAAAATATAGTTTCAAAATACAAAATTGTCTATTTTAAGAGCTGTTTGAATAATTTTCTACTCTAAAATAGCAAAATTCTAAATAAGCTTCTATCAAGGATTCTTTCAGATATTTCAGGATAAATTTTAGGTTATGGTCAAGAATGCATCCAAAAGAACGATTTAAAATTTAAACACGTCAAAATATCATCTGAAAACTTAATATATTTCTTAAATACTATACTTGTCTGTAAGTCTTTTCAGAGTCAAACAAGTAAAAATGTAGTTCCTTGGTAACAATTACGATCCAAATTTGAGGTTATGATTCTTTAAGCGGATGGAAAAGTCTAAAAAGTTTCGAAAAATGAGGGAAAATGCATGTTTTAGGCACTGCCAGAGCTCTGGAAGTGTCTGTGGAAGTGTCAAGAAGTGGTGTACACTGTTTTAGCCATATAATCTCTCCCTTGTGACAGAGTATTAGGAGCACAAAATGCTGATTGCAGATTCACACAGCAAGATGCAAGCAGCATAAATGTGGCGCCATTCGTCTCGGAGTGTGTCGCTCATAATTCAGGGGACAGCGGGTGGCATTTTGGGGGGTGGTGGCTCTTTTGGACGGGGGTGTGTGTGCGAAAAAACTGTCACATGTATAAAATCACAAACTGGAATTCCGTGCAATTGCGAAAAAGACCATCAACGGCAAAGTGAAATATAATTTGGCTCAATTTGAAACTTTATGAACCATATTTGGTCCATAATAATTTTAACCTCCCCGCCAAATGGTGTCGTCTCGCTTTGCCTAATGGTGAAACTGGCAACTTCCATAGCATGGCATTCGATTACGTATTCCATGATGATTTTGACTAAATTATTAAAATGTCAATTTGCAAATATGATGTGAATGTGCATTAATGTGCCCTCGCGTACCCTGAGCTTTTTTATCATTTCACATCCACACCAGAGCGTCTCTTTCATCTCTTTTAGGGGTGTACAATAATAAATTTTATTTATTGCCGAGTCCACCAATATGTGGGATCCATTAAATTTAATTCAATCATGAATATTTTACACAAATAGCGACAATCACAGTGACATTTGAAGGCTGCTTGCCTCGCTGAAAAATAGCTCAATATACAAGCTTTTTTTTACTGGGTCGCTCATAAAAGCTCTCCAACTGCAATCTTATGGCATCCAGAGTTTTCCCATGATGGAATGCGCTTTTCATACATTTAATATTTAATCAACTCTCTCTCAGTTTAATTGGCAAATAATAGAATTTGCATATTTTCCGCCACTTCACGTGTGCATGAAAAATTTCCATTAATTTGGGTACTTTTACTGCATTCAAACGCATAATAGATTTGTATTCAATCCCCACTTGAGTGCATTTTTCTGCCAAAATTACCAGCAAAAATATTGTAAATTCCCATCTGAAAATGAATAAGTGAAGTGGACGTTGTTTTTAATGACGAAATAATTGAATTTTTTCCACATTGTACTCATTTTCACCCTGGAATTCCTTCTAGAATATATACATTTTGTAAATCCCTCAGCTGAAGTGCAATGCAAATGTGTTT